ACACGTCATGATAAATTTAGAAAGCATGCTCCAAAAGAGTGTCACTGTGCATCATATTGCTCCACCCACCATTTAAGACCAGTTTCTTCCTACATGTCAGGAACAATGAGCTGCCTGAGTTAAATATGGGGAAAGAGACTTCATGCTTTAGAGAAACATAGTTTGTTTTAATAAGATTAAAAATGATCAGTAGTCTGTCCCCAATGTCAGAGGCTCCATCTCATTTTGACAGGGCTCACCAATATGATCATTTCCATTGCAGGAAGCAAAGTGCAGTGCCGTTCGACCTTTGTCATCAGCCGCACAGGGGTCTGCCCCATCTTCTAGGAGCTGCTGCACTGGAGCCACCAAAGGAAAGAAAAAAGAGTGAATTTCACAGAGCTGAGGTTTTCTAAGGATTACAACTCACCAGAACCACAGCTCAAGGTGCAGGAAATTCTGGCATGTGTTCCCAAGATAGACATTTAGTACTTAAGATCCATGGACAGCATGGTTCTTCGGTAACAATTACTAATACGTAAATAATTACTTATTAATTGATTGTGTATTTATTTATTTTATAGTTTACTTTCGTTGCATGAAATGACCTGTGTTCTGGTCTGTCCTGCACAGTCCACAGCAGTAGCCAAGGGTATCCAATTGTTCAATTAATAGGACTGTCTAGCAATATTCTTTTTTAACACATGGCTGTGGTTCTGCTATTTCACTTCAACTTAGTAATTAAAGTGAAATACCCTTGGATACCCTGGGCATTATACCAGGTGTGGATAGCTGCCTCTCACACTTCCCAAACTGTGGTGAAGAAAATTATCACTGCAGCAGCAGAGGGTTCCCTGCTGCATTGCTGCTCTGGACTAAGTAGGACTGACCAGAACACAGATCATTTCACACAAGGAAGGTAAACTATAAAAATAATGTCACACCCAGAACAAGTAATATGCTACTTTGGTACTTGGTGCAATGAAAAGAATAATGCCTTCTGATCTCAGTGAGTAATATCATAAGTTACTTCTGAGAAGAGAAACAATAAAAACATATGGTACACATGTATAATGCACATTTGTTGTTGTTGTGCACCTTCAAGTCATTTCTGACTTATGGCGACCCTATCACGGGATTTTCTTGGCAAGATTTGTTCAGAATGCAATTGTCTTTGTCTTCTACTGAGGCTCATGGTCACACAGTTAGGGCCTTTACAGACTGCCAGAAATAATGCAGTTTGAGGACACTTTAACTGTCCTGGCTCAGTGCTAGGGAATCATGGGAATTGTATTTTTTTCTGAGACATTGAGCCTTCTCTGTCAGGGAGCTCTGGTGCCACAATAAACTACAGTTCCCATGATTCCTTAGCACTGAGCCAAGGCAGTTATTTCTGTCCTGCATTATTTCTGGCAGCCTGTAAAGGCCCTTAGTTTCCATGGCTAAGCAGGTCTCCAGTATAATAATAGTTGAATGTTCAGACAACTACACCATGCTGACTGTCTAGTAAACATTTCATCGTTGCTGCATTTCTGACTTATGGCAGCCCCAAAGCAACACTATCATGGGGTTTTCTTGGCTGAATCTGTTCGGGGTGTGTGTACCCTTTCCTTTCTCTGAAGCAGAGAAAATGTGACTTGCCCAAGGTTTTCATGGTACAGTAGGCTTTCATGGCCAAGCGGGGATTTAAACCCTGGTTGCCCAGTGTCCTAGTCCAACACTAAAACCACTACACCACACTGGCTCTCTAATACACATTTATTGAGACCCAAATTAGTTTCAGACCAGTAACAGCCACCCTCCCCGCTGCTTGTAGCCATCTCTAAAACCAACATTCTTGTGAATATACTTCACACTTGCAGTGCAATTTCTTTATCCATATCTGGAGCAACAGGATATTATCTCCCAGCCATTACTACATACATTTTACTCTCTTGATCTGAATATTCTTTTGATGAAAAACAAAATCATCATATGATGCCTTCTTTTCAAATATATTTCATGGCACAATCCAACCAGATTTAAGCACCAAGTCCTCACAATATCAGTTGCAGAGTGATGGCAGCAATGAAAATTTGGCTTAGTTAATAAAACTGTTATGTTGGTGATGCAATGTGAACATCTCCAATCTCCTGTACAACAACAAAACCACAACTGGCAAATGTCACAAAGAACAGCACCTTGAAAAGGAAGGCTGCCATTCACAGCATTATCTTTAATATGCAGAAAACTATTCTTACCTTACTACTGTAATGTACACAATCCTCAACTAGAACTTATGTAGAAGAAAACAAATATATGTTACACTTCAATTATGCAATCTTACCTGTTTCCAAATCATTAGAATTAGCAGCATCTCTTAATCTTTTCAGAGCTGTGGAAAAACCGAGGTGTTTTTATTTGCCTACTGGAATATGAATGAGCCAAGAACAATTTAACAACAAGGTGCATCATCAAACTTATCTCCCACCTACTTGTTGTGCACAGATCTAGACGGTACCAAGTAAACTGTTAAAAGTGGCTTTTAGGCATAGATTAGCAAGAGTTCCAAGGAGCTGCATAGCGACCTTGCTCCCTACAGCCATTGAAGCTTTTATGTTTCATTTTAAAGAAGGAAGGTCTTATCTAGGAAGGTGAACTATTCCTAAATACATGCAGGCCTTCTCTTCGGCAAACTTTAATGTTCTCTCCTCTAACTTATTAAGTGGAAGCTACAATAAAATTCCACTGAAAAACAGATGAAGGCCCCATAATGATTTTGTAGAGTCCATTTCATATATATTTTTAATACTATTGTTATCAAGGAGCTAGGAAAGATGGAATATATGCAATTATACTTTATGTTTTTTTCCCCCCAGGCTGCTCCCCTGAGTGTCTTTTGACTATTTTCTCCATGACTCCAGTAAGTCAGCTAATGAGCAAATTGTTTTTAAATGTCATTATTATTACCAGTCTCTAAACACACCATCTCTAAATCTTAGGGCATGGGTAAGAATCATGAGCCCCTCTGGATGTTGCTGGACTGCACTCCTCAGCAATCTTAGCAGCATGGCCAATTGTGAGGAATGCTAGGAGCTGCAGTCTGACTACATCTGGAAGACCACATCAATCTAACCCCTGTCTTTAGAGGCCATGTGCAGTGCTTTCAAAACAAAGTACTAGCTATGGTCCAAAGCATACCGTAGAAATAATCCAGTTTGAGGCCGCTTTAATTGTCCTGGTTCTGTGCAAGGGAATCCTGGGAATTGTAGTTTATTGTAGCACCAGAGCTCTCTGACAGAGAAAGCTAAATGTCTCACAAAACTACAGTTCACAGAAGCCCTTAGCATTGAGCCAGAGCAGTTAAAGTTGTCTCAAACCGGATTATTTCTGCAGTCTGATTTGGACCTATGTTTACTTGGACATAAACACCACAGAGTACTCACTGCAGGGAGTGTGCTTGGGAGCAAGCCTCCATTTGAACCCACCTAGGATTTAATTGGGAGAAAAACATGCACCAGACCAGGCTGCTGGATCTCATTCCTATTCTCTTCCCCTTTCCTAAATCAGAAGAACTTGTTTCATGAGGCTCAGAGACACCAAAGGAAGGAGCATTTACAGTGTAGATGCAAGCAAAGGGATCTTGAAGCACCTTTGAGACTAACTGAAAGATGCATCTGAGGAAATAGGCTCAGGTCTATGAAAGCTCATGCTACCAGAT